GAAAAACACCTATTTCGATACGGCCGAAAAACCACCTCATCCTAGCGCAAAAACATTTTGTTGAAAAAATTACGTTTTTTTTTTTTCGAATTTGACGTGTTTCCATTGAGCAAATTTATTTTCAAAATTCTAATTTGTGCATTTTCATGATCAATGGAAACACAGCTACTGATCAGAAACTCGACGTTCTGTTCTCTGATTGGCCAGGCTAAAAATCTGCCAGCGAAATCCATGTCTATGGGAGAAATCCCAGACGGAGCAGAGAAGAGAAACTAGAATTGAGTGGAGCTGTGTAGGAAGGCAAGGACCAGGCTAGTCTAACACGCTCCTTAGTGAGTATCCAGGAGGCATTTTTACCAAATGAACCACCTCAACTGGCTCCTCTCGATGTGGAGGAGCAGCAGCTCTACTTTGAGTCTCTCCCAGATAACTGAACTTCTTACCCTAAGCGAGAGCCCAGTTACCCCGTGAAGAAAACTCATTTCGACAGCTTGTATCCGTGATCTTGTTTTTTCAGTCACTACCCAAAGTTCATGACCATAGATGAGGGTAGGAACTAGACTGATCTGTAAACAGAGAGCTTTGCCCTACAGCTCAGTTCCTCTGAACCACAACAGACGAGTACAGAGTCCACAACACTTCAGAAGCTGCACCGATCTGTCTATCAATCTCACGCAACATTCTTCCATCACTCATGAACAAGACTCCAAGATACTTGAACTCCTCCACTTGAGGCAGAACCTCACCCCCAACAAGCAATCCACCCTTTTCAGACTGAGGGCATTGGCCTGTAGGGGACCAACTTACATCTGGCAATAACTCTCACAGTTTGTACAGGGCCTGAAAGAAGAAGATTATTTATATAAATAAACAAACAACTGAATTTGAAAACAATTTATTACATTTGTGGGGGTTTTGGGTATATTCTAAAATGTATAATTTGTGAACACACAAATTATATTTACCTCAAGGCACCACGCTCTTAATTTGGTCCAGGATTGACCCAGGAAAGAGACGAAAAACTGTAACTTTATTGTAATCAGTCTCACAATAAATGTACCCAAAATGATTTGATGAGTTCTTGTCTTATCAGAACCAATAATACTTTATCAAGACACAAAATGAGATTAGCTTATGTTGGCACATTCTCCATGGGCCATTTATTTACAGATTAAATGTATTTACAACTATGGTGAGTAATGAGTGATGACATGTTGAACCAGGTAAAAATTGAAAGAGTTTACAATCACGAGTGAAAAAACAAATAAACAAACAAACAAACAAACAAATAAACATAAAATAAACACTGAGAGGTGAGTTTTGCTTTTAGCTGTGGATTTMACTAAGGGCATCCTAGTTAAATTAGGGAGAAAAATCATTTAGTTCATCAAATCTCATACAAAGATAAGAATCAAATTACGTCTGAGCACCTGTTTGTCACCAGGACAAATGTTCACTTTTACCCTTTTGTTCCGCCGTGTGGGTACCAGGAGGGGAAGTCAGCGACTGAAGGTCATCTCTGGGGTCGTTCTCAGACAGGCTCTCCATGCAAGCTGGATGTCAGGCGGTCTGTCTGTATAGCTCGACTGGTCCCGTGGTCAGAGAAGGGGGTCACTCCCTGGTGACTCGGGGTCCGGTCCTCCCAGGCGGCTGCAAGACTTCTTAATTTGATTTCAACTTTGTAGAGAAAAACGAACTAAAACGACGCATGAATTACAATTAGCTTATTTAACTTCTATAAAATCAAACTCAGATATTGAGCCGATATTAAACGATACTCTCATTCGATCTTGGGAGCTGCACTAACTTTTAAAACCTCTGTTAAGGGCGAAGTCAAGGTTTTAAGTTGGCCAATGAAAATATTATACCTTTTACAGGAAAAGTTTTTAACAAATCAAATCTGTTTTGGAGGGAAAACTTTACTTCAGGACAAAGAAAAAGGGAGTGTTTTAGTTTAATTATCTTGCATCTAATTAAAGGGTGAGACATCTGTTTACCTCAGTAAAATAAGTGTCACATTTAATTAAAAATTCAAGTCCTAAGGTTTCTAAGGATTAAATCATGGAATGAAACACACACTGTTTAAAATCATGAAATAAAAGAAACATCTTCCTCAGGAAAACATTTCATCAAACAATTAACACCATACAGTTATTGAATAGTTAGCTAAGCAAAACTTAGTAGATCCTTTATGGTCTTTTTAGTTCTTTCCTGTAAGAAAAATGGATTAGATGACATTCTTTGCAATAAGACATTAGATACTCAGATTCCTTTATCTTTTCTCCTTTTTTCACATTTAATGAAGAATGTAGGTCCTTTGTCTCAGTCACTGAAGAGTCTGGTTAAACCATTATGGTCCCTTTGAAGAGGAACCAACAGGCAGTCCTTATGTGGGGATGGAAGCAACAAGGACTTATCAGAATGTAAATTCTTTCAGTTTGACTGCTGGGGCATCGTCGCAAAGTCTAGTGGGGGAAAATGTGGGATGCTACTTAGGGCCACAAAGGAAATTTCCATGCAAAATCTTTAGAAAAAAATAGTCTGAAGTTAAAGTGGGATTTTGTTCCGTCCTTTGAGCAGTCATAGGAACAAGTGAAATCTAATCAGAAATGATTAATTAAATGCAGGAAAATGCTACACATTTGTTCATTTTCCTGTAAAAATGTCTTTGTGTCGTTGCAGATGTGAAACTCTGAATCTTCAGCTGATAAAAGCAGGAACAGCTTCAGCTGATGCTGAATGTGGAGAAAAAAGTTCAGCCTGGGTTATAGGTGTTATAGTTGCTATTGTGTTTTTTGTGATTTGTCTGATTATTTTATGTGTTTGTTTAAAGAAAAAGGAAAAACCTGTACTACCAGGTAAAGTCTGACTTTTTTCGTGTAAAATATATTTTTATTTTTTTCTCTGTGACAATGGTTAATATAGTTTTTTGTTTGTTTTTAGGTTGTTTCAATAGCAAACAATGTACAAATCAAGATCATCAAATGGTTTCTATGGTATGTTAGTTTTATTTAATTTTGATTACATGTTTTATTTGACTGTGTTTAATTTTTTATGTTTCTCTTAATTTGTTGCCCAATAGAACGAAGAAGATTTGGACAAAAACCCAAGAGCTTCAAAGAATTCAAATATCAAACCAGAGCCTTTATTAGCAGGTTCATCAGGTGAGACAAGTTCTGCAGATTTGATATGTTTTGATCTTAAAGTTGACTGATGGAGCTGCTCTCACTGAAACTTTCAGAAAGTTGTTAACACTGCTGCAGCTCTGAGAAGGAGCCTCCAGCAGAGAAAGGAAAAAAACTGCAAGTTCTGATCTGGTGACTGAAACTTATTTGGTCTTTTCATTTCATAAATACAACTTTAATTATAAAGCACTAAAAAAAAAAAAACCATAGAGCAAAACAAACCAAAACACATCAAAGTTCTTAACTTTAAATTCGATCCAGAAACTAAAAGGGAACCAGCGCAGTGAAGCTGAAACAGGAGTGATGTGATCCTGTGTTCTGGGTTAAAACATTTTGAACCAGCTGAAGTTCAGTACAGACTTCTCTTTTATCTCAACAAGTCGAGATTAAAACATGGATTAAATCTCAAAGTGAATAGAATGTAAGGCGATAAAAACTGGACTGATTTAATCTGAGCATCAAGTTTAATCTCACTGTCCAACGTCACATCCAGGTTTGTTTCTGTCAGTCAGATTTTCTGTTAAAGGAACTGGATTAGCACGGACCTGGAAGCATTGCTGGGCCAGAACAACAAGAGAGCTTTCTTTTTTTTCATAGAAGCATAAAAACTAAAGCAACATTTATGCCTTCATTTCTGAGATATATTTTAATCATTTTGTAAGGAAATCGTGATCATCTGGCATCTGTGCCAGCCTGGATCTAATAGAGACTGCACAAAAACTGACTGTATAATGATCAACTTGTTAATTACACTTCTGACTTTCTGGTTACAGCCCTGGAGGAGGTACCTTTTACATCAGACGTTAGAACGTAACCAACTTTTGTTTATGCAAACAGAAAGGCCTCATATTGATAAGACACGCTGACTCTCGTTCTCTGTTTAAACCTTATGGCTGCAAAGGTCAAAAAGTATAAAATACAAGACTGGATCTAACATTCAGTTAATCTGTCACAGAATTTCCTTCAACCAGAAAAAACACTTTAGTATCACAGTGGGACATTTAACCTCCTCAGATATATCTTTATTTTTTTCTGAGTGAATTTGTAGTATTTTTTAAAAAATTATATTAAATGCTAAATAGTTAGTTTCCTTTTTCACAGCTGAAGTTACTTTATTTTTCTCCACAGAATGAAACAACAGATGAGTGCAGGAGCAGGCTCTGGTCACTGCAGAGAACATTTTCTTCTAAGTGCAGTTCCTGTTCAGACTTGTAGGAGAACATTGTTTATACAGTGTTCAGACTTCAGCAGCTCTAAAAAGACTTTACCTCCTCCTCACTGTTACACTCATCACTCATTATATTCACTGTGTGAATCTGTGTTAATATGTTGTGTATACTTCACCTGTAATTTGCTTTATAACGTGATTGTGTGGTGTGAAAAAGTGTTTGCCCCCTTCCTGATTTCCTGATTTTTTGCACGTTTGTCACACTTAAATGTTCCGGAACATCAAACCAATTGTGGTGAACCTTCCCAGGAGTGGCCAGCTGCCCAAAATTACTGCAAGAGCTCAGTGACAACTCCTCCAAGATGTCACATAAGACCCTAGAACAACATCCAAAGAACTGCAGGCTTCACTTGCCTCAGTTAAGGTCAGCGTTCATGCCTCCACCATCAGAAAGAGACTGGGCAAAAATAACCTGCATGGCAGAGTTCCAAGAAGAAAACCACTGCTGAGCAAAAAGAACATTAAAGCTCGTCTCAGTTTTTCCAAAACGCATCTTGATGATCCCCAAGACTTTTGGGGAAACATTCTGTGGACCGATGAGACAAAACATGAACACTATGGAAGGTGTGTGTCTCAGTACATCTGGTGTAAAAGAAACACAGTAAAACATGGTGGTGGTAGTGTGATGGTCCGGTGCTGTTTTACTGCACCAGCACCTGGAAGACTTACTGTGATAAATGGAACTGTGAATTCTGCTGTCTACCAAAAGATCCTGAAGGACAATGTCTGACCATCTGTTCGTGAGCTCAAGCTGAAAAGAAAACTTGGGTTCTGCAGCAGAACAGTGATCCAAAACAGCAGCAAGTCCACCTCTGAATGGCTGAAGAAAAACAAAATGAAGACTTTGGAGTGGCCTAGTCAAAGTCCCGACCTGAATCCTATTAAGATGCTGTCTGTGGCCATGACCTTAAAAAGGCCTTTCATGCTGGAAAACCCTCCAATGTGGCTGAATTACAACAATTCTGCAAAGTGATTGGCCAGGATTCCTCCACACGTTGTTGCTGCTGAGGGTGGCCCGACCAGTTATTAGGTTTAGGGGGCAATCACCTTTTCACACAGGGTCATGTAGATTTGGATTTTTTTCCTCCCTTAATAATGAACACCTTCATTTAAAAATAGTATTTTGTGTTTACATGTGTTGTCTTTGACTAATATTTAAACTGAAAGTGTGACAAACATGCAAAAAATCAGGAAGGGGGCAAACACTTTTTCACACCACTGCATGTATGTACTTTGTCATTAATTCAATATGTAAACTGTGGGAGAAT